TGGTGGATAGCCCTGGAGACCACGAATGAGCTGGAGAATTGCCTGTAAGGACTTGATCGCGGAGTACCCCGGAAGCGTCGGAATTGGCCCACCCAACAAAGGGCTGAAATCAATAAGCTAGAGTTGCAGAGCCAGATAGAGCGAACTTGGGAAAACTTGCTGCAGGAGTATTTTGAAGATGCGATGAGAGCACCCTCGTCGGCACCACCATTAATGGCGAATCCTTTTGTCAGGACAGCGGGACAGTTGCTGTTTTCATGGAGCCTGGTGGGAGTGGCGTTAGAAGCGTTGACTTCATATGACAAACTCAGGCTGGGCAATGCGGGTACGCGCGTGTACCAAATGTTGGTGCAACGAATTGCTCGAGATAACTCGGGATGAGTCTACCGAGGCGGAAAGATGCCACCTGCATCTCGAGATGGATAATGTCAGTGATGTCTGACACCACCGTCTAGACGTGCCACCAACGAGCGATAGGAAGTATGACGATGGAAAGTATGACGATGGAAAGTATGACGATGGAATTCTGAATGTGTAACAGAGTACTGGAATCGCCAAGGGGGATGGCTCAAGGCAGTCTCTAGAGAACCACGGCAACCTGGCTCTGGCAGATGATAACCCGAGGCCCACGAAACGGGGAAAATACCAATATGTGTGTGGAGTGATGGAGATGGCATACAACCCCTTCTTGGACTCAGAAGCTGGAAACGCTTGCATGAATTTTGAAGTGGCGGAGTTGTTGAAGTTCTAGACGGAGAAAATAATTGAAATTGACCAGACGGAAAGGGAAAGACCGAGCCTAGGTCTGCTATTTGAGAAAATTCTGGAAATTATCAGTGTGCCGCGTTCGGAAAAAAAGGTCGAACTAAGACTGGGAAGCGGAAACGACGTCTTGTCTACGAAATTGGGGACCATTTGGAAGTTACTGAGACTATCTTGGTGCCCACATCCCCACGCAAGCTTGATTGATTGAGGAAGTTACGGAGCAGGTGAGATTGTTGCCAGCGAAAGGTGTAGATCTGGGAAACTTGAATATAGTGCACAAATTAATCCTACCTCATCAAGGGGAATGGGAGGGAGCAACGAGCAAGCTGGACAAGCTGGTGAAGAAGATGGAGCCGGGCAGCTGTCTGGACATTGCATGTGGAGGCGGAGCGCATTCTTGTGATGGGCGGTCCTGTGTCAGAATACAATCCTTCCAGAGGGGGGGATTTAGCCACTTGGTTCTGTGACATAACGGAGAAGGAGAAGAGCGAGATGCATATAATGGCTGAGTGTTACGCGAGCACCACTGTAAATGTAGCGACGGGGTTGGGATTTTTCTCGATGATGTGCAGTTTACAATCTCCAGAGATGATGGAATCATATCACCATTTGGTGACAGCGTTAAGCGTGGAGTCTTGGCCAGGAGTGTTTCAAATGATCCAGAAACACATCAGAGGACGGAAGATTGGTCTTGAGGCGGAGATGAGATTTCCTCTAAGCGAGGCTTACAATCTACCCAAGAATGCGAAGTTTCTGGTAGGATCAGTCATGGCCAACCTGTGCGGAAGCCATTATCCACTACACATGGCGATGGTAGACAAGTGTGTGCGGTTGGCACGAATGTCGCATCACTCTCACAAATTGTTGCAGAAGATACTAGGAGCAGTGCCGCGAGATCGAAGAGCTCTGGAAAGTGGAAAAAGAGAACACAACTGACCTTGAAAGACAGAATACGATTGGAAAAGAGATGAACCGTGCCACAGCTATGGATGAAAACGACGTGACGCATGAGAAAATGCTGGAGTTTGAACCGCTGTTGGAAACTTCTGGAGAACGTAACCTCCGGAGCATCAACCTGACTCACGGGGAAAGCCGAAACCATTGTCTGGCACAGACAGTTTGGTATCCGGAGCACTCGAACCTCTACTTGTTATGGGACGTGGAAGAAATTCGGTCAATAGGGCTACCCAGTGACCAGCAGAAGGTCACTCTTTTTGTGGTGAGCACGATGCTGGCGTTGCCATGGATCGAGGAGAACGTGACGAAATATCGAGACTCGAGAGCACCAACTGTGGAGTCAATACATGCCATTGACTACAGCTGGAGGCTTGAGTTGTTCGACGTGTGTAAAGTATTCGCTGTGCCCGAGGAAGTGAGGCACGTGTGGAGTCGCATTAGATTCTTTTCATGGTTTCGAGCGCCGCTGACTTCGTGGCTGTATACGGTGACGAAGAATCGCATGATGAAGCATCAGAAAGAATATCGAAAGTTCCTGGCTGAGATTGGGCCCGAGGCCTTCAGGAGACCGTTGCTAATTCATCGTAATGCGATAACCACGGGTTGGAAAAGGGTTGGTAGAGTGTCTCGAGATAACAACAAAGCGAGGGAATCGATATTGGAGGAGGAATTGACGAAGAACGTGAGCCGGGAGTTTGCACAATTCGTTTTGCTTGAATAGGAAATCTAAAGTGAAGGGTCTGCCGAATCAGGCGAAAAGGCTACAAGAGCAAAAGGAATGGATGCGAGCCTAAGAACAGTTGAAGGCATGGGAACAAATCGTAATCAGTTCCGATGACGAAGAAGAACTGGCAAGGCAAATTACGACGTCGAGTGTGTCAGGACTCAGTACCTCGAAGACAAGAGGCACGAACTGAAGAGGGTGTTCAGAGATTGGTTCTTAAAACAATAAATTTTGCTAAAATTTCTTTTCCTTGCCCTCAGATTTCTGAACACCCTCTGCCAGTCGGTCATATTTGGAAGTTTGACCTTGAGCAACGTTTATCCTTGACTTTGGGTTGAACTGCAATTTTTCAAAAAAAAAAAATTGAATTGAGCATGTTATGTTCAAGTTCCTCGCGAAAACTGAAAATGCAAGAAAATAAGATCAGAAGATTCGAACTACAATCGCGGGAAAGTAGTACAAAATAGGAGCGTGAAATTTCTATTCGCAATTTCAGCGTATAATTCGAACGAGAGTAGAGCTGTCTCATTCCTAGAGAAAGAAAAAGTCGTGACGAAAAGAGACAAAGAAGTATTGAGTGGACCAGAGTGAACCTTCGGTGGAAAGGTGGACAGCTGAAGCTGCCCAATGGTCAAAACGGAAAACTTGTGTCTTCAGTTAAAACTTATTCATTTCAAACTTCTTGAGTTAAACTTGATTACTGGATCAATTCTAGAGTCGCTTATTGATTTAGTTACTCAATTATAGAAGTCGTGTCGGTATGTAAGTACCCATTATAAATTTGTTGAGTGAGTTTTGCATTGTTATGTTGAGTTAGGGAGAGTTTTAGGTTGATCCATCTGAAATGGATCAAAAGTCCACTGTCTAATAAAAAGTAGCTGTGTAAGTAAGATTCCGACCCTGTTTTTGACGTTGTTCGTGTGTTTTGGGTATTTTGAGACTCAATCATGGGGGCGTTCCTATTTATAGAGTGGGTGGGGGGTATTTTGGTAGTAGCCTTTAGGATTTAACGCGGTTTGTAGTCTCATGTCGCAAGTCAATCGATTTTGTTTCGACCGTTTGAGGTAGAAAAACACAAGAGATAGTGTCCCTGACTCATGAGCCAATGTTTATAGGGCCTATTTTCCTATAACCTCATATGTGACTTAAGTAGGCGACTGTTACAAGAGAGTACCCGCTGGACATTGTCAATTGCATTGCAATTGACGATATTTCACGTATGATCCAAACACTAATCAGCAAGGCCACTCTGGAAATCAAAATTGACGGCGACATCGAGAAAGTAACGTTTGAGACCAGTATTGGTTCTCCACAAGGTGACGGTCTCAGTGGTAAAGCATTTGATTGCTACTTTGAAGACGCAATCGTCGATGTCAGGGAAGAAATCAAGGAACGAATAGATTGAAAACAAAACCACACGTATTGTTCTCCATCTAATTTACCAGACGAAGCAACCTATGCAGACGACGCTGATTTTGTCAGCCTTTCCAAACAACTTTCCTTTGAAAAGTTCGAATACATTCCACCAGTTCTCATTAAAAAGAATTTATTAGTTAATACCGACAAGACTGAGCTAGTACAAATCAGAAGTACCATTAACTAGTTATCAGAAAATTAGAGAAAGTGTAAGAAACTAGGAACATTGCTCGGAGATCAGGAAGACATCGCTAACAGGAAAAGCTTGGCAATAGCTGCATCTATTTCCTTGAAGAAGATTTGGACTCATGGAAATCGTGTAAGCAAACTCATCCAGGTGTACAACAGCATTGTCAAATCGAGTTTCCTTTACAACTCCGAGATATGGGCTTTAACAAAGACTGACCAGCAGAAAATTAACCAGCTCAGAACTATCCTTAACATACGTTATCCTACCAGAGTTTCTAATCAAGAAGTGTTTACCTAACTCTTGAAATTCTCTGCAGACGATGGACGGTTTTTGGCCATGCTTTCCGATTAGACTTCAAAGCACCAGCTCAGAAAGCGATGGACTACTATTTGAGACGTCATATGCGAAAAAGTTTCAAGGAAGGCCAAGAGCCACCATATTTACCACTCTGAACGACGATTTCAGCCGCCTGGACATTATTATTCCATGTTACATTCGACGGGGGCAATTCGAAATTTTGAAAAAATCCAATTGAACCTAAAATGAAATCCAATTGAACCTAAAATGACGAAATTTTCGTATGACGGACTGGCTTTGTTTGTTTGGTTAAACTATGAGCTGAAAGGACTTCGTAATTTAGTTCGTTTCCTTGATAGTTTCACGCCTTGGATTTTTTCCGGTAAAAGTTATCTTCATGACCTTTAATTTATTGTAGGGTTGACATTTATTTGTTATTCTGGGGGCCTATAAGTGATAACTCCAAAAAGAACTGTCATGCCTTGGATGTTTTCCGGTAAAAGTTATCTTCATGACCTTTAATTTATTGTAGGGTTGACATTTATTTGTTATTCTGGGAGCCTATAAAAAGAACTGTCGTGCGAGATAGAGAAAAGTTTCAACTTATTTGAGGCTCCTTTCAAGTAAATTTTACGGTTGCTGAAGAATTTCAGATGTAGAAAACAAGGATGTATTAAATGCTGGACCAGAATGAGTAACCTGTCACCTCTCATGAGAGATAATTGTGATATCTCCAGCTTCTACTCAACGAAATTATCCTGGAAAGGAAAGTAAGTAAAACATGGAAACTAGTTAGTAGCCTAGTAGATTTTTTTTTAAATGTGCATGAAAGTCTCATAACTATAGACGTCCATTCATACATATTGATGCGTTTATGAATGCACTTAGGTATATATGCACTTTTTGAGTTCAATTGAAATTCATCTGCTGAAAGTGACGTAAATAGCACTCTCCAAATACGTACATGGAATTGGCGCGAAAAAACATGATCGATTTCTAGTTTCGAAAGTGGAATTTTATTTTAAGATTTCCAGAGGAATATAAGTTTTACCTATTGATCCTGTTTTCTCTGGTGAGGTTCATGTTATCAAAAATGCGCCTATCATAAATTTTCTTTGAAGTTTGAATTTTGAGGTTCATGTTATCAAAAAAGCGCCTATCATAAATTTTCTTTCAAGTTTGAATTTTGAAATTTGAAGTTGAGATTTTTTCATCAAGTTAGTTTTTTTTTTGTTCACTTGCGTTCATACTCTTTTCCAATCTTCGATTGGCTAGGTTTTAAGAGTTGTTGATGTTTCCAGTAAAAACTGGAATTGGCTCTGAATTATTGTACCAATGACAAAATATGGGAATGAATTTTGCTTTACTGCGTACCAGCTTGTGAATAGGATCACGTAACATAATTTCAGACCTCTCGACCGTGATTCAAGCTGCGATGAATCATTTCAGAAAATATTTCAAATTTTGAACAACAATTCGAAATTTGGATGTTTGTATCAAACAATATACCGCCAATCGAACGGCAAGAAAAGCCATATAATTACCATGCAACTAACTTGAACAATTTTGGTAGATACCGACGAGTTTTCTCAATTGGAACAGATGGAATCACAACAGCCAATCCGCAGAATTTTCAGGTTACAAACCAAGTGAGTGTTTTTGAGAGTAACGTGAAACTTTTAGTATTCTAATGAATATTTGCTCATACTTATTTTTTTTAAATTTCAGTGGGCATATAAAGAAATAGCAGCAATTTTGCCCAAACGCGACACAGGCGTACTGCACGAGTTTCACTTAATTGTACAAAAACCTGGCAAAAAATTGGAAACTCTTAAATTTTCGTGCGATCATAGAGCGGAGCTTCTCACCACAGCGCTGGTAAAGATAAATAAAAAGTTGAATTTGCTTGCTATGAGTGCACATCTGAAATTGATTTGTTTTAGAGATTCAGAACTAAGTTCGCAGATCAATCGCAGTTTTCAGTTCAACAGTTCAAGTCCGAGAAACACCATTGGTCGGACAATAGACTGACTGTCACTTTACAGGTGCGCTGTTAAACTGTTTCTTACAACTAAACGTTGTTTTTATAAAACATCAGAAACCTTCTTCGGTTTAGTTTCGCTAGCGTATAGCTTTTTAGGTGACACCGAGCTCTGTGGACCAGCTAGATTTGAGTACCGGAAAAATTCTTTGTTCTTACGACTACCAAGAAATAGAGGAATTTGCTTTGGTAAAAACGACTTAAGCTGAAGAAAATGGCTTAACTTATTTTATGGAGCTGCTTATACGCGGTTAAATTTTGAGTTTAGGTGTCCGATGACATTGATGCATTTGCTATATTTTACGGTGGATTCCGACGAATGGTGAGTAAATTTTTGTGTTTGACTTAGTAAATAAGATGCCATGAATTGAGTTATTTGCATAAACAACGTATTTTTTCGGTGAATTTTTGAAAATAAGCTTAAGAGCTGAACTACTTTTGCGCTTGCGATAACCGTTATCAATTTGGAATAAAGACTTTTTTTTCGGTTCAATCACTTATGATGCTGCTATCACTTATGATGCTGCTATCACTTATGATGCTACTGTGCTGACATAGTCAATTTCTTGCAAATTCAATTTTAACTACTGGCTGCCCGGTTGGTATTTGTATTCAGAGGGTCTGAAAGTTTTTTCACAATATCAATTTTTTCGGCTCAACTGGTGTCTGCTCTTCATAAGGTTTTTTTAGTTGCCAATTTGAATGTCTTGTTGGGCATATTTGCCTGGAATTCCAGTTTGATAAAAATCAGTTATTTTGAAAGTGTTTGGGATTGGAGTTTTTAATTTTTTTTTGTGAGACGCTTTGGAAACTTTTATTACTTTTTGCAATAAATTTATTTTTTTCTCCAAATCTTTTTTAAACGATTTCAAAAAAGGGTATCAATAGAAAGACCGCTTTTTTAGTGCCTGCATACTCTCTTGGTCTCTATTTGCTTTACCCTTTTGTCTACAGCCTTCGAACAATCTGTGGGGGTTTATTTGGACGATACTTTTGATTTTTTTTTTCATTTTCTCAAAAACCTATTTAAGTTCATTTTCTCCTAAATGATGACATCTTTCCACAAATGATTTGGTCTGGCGACTTCTGCCCAGATTGTTTCAGAATATGATTTTTATAGTTTGTTGGATTGTATGTATGTACTGATGCAAATTTGTTCAAATTTGATCTAAATGATGATACCTTTCCCTAAATGATATGGTTTCGCGGCTTCTGCTCTTGTTTGTTTGAAAATCTTGAGGTTTTTTTTATAGTTGATTGATTGTATGTATATACGGATCCAATTTGTACATTTTTGCTCTAAATGATGTCACCTTTCCCTAAATGATTTGGTTTTGCAACTTTTGCCCGTATGTTTTGTGAGAAATTGAGGATTCGAATAGTTTGTTTGATTGTATGTTTGTACTGAGTCAATTTTGTTCATTTTTGATCTAAATGATGCCACCTTTCCCCAAATGGTTTGGTTCGGCGACTTCTTTATATGATATATGCGAAGTGAATATATTCTGCTTTTTAGTGATTTCAATGCTATCAATCTTTTCGTTTTTGTGCTGTTTTGAAATATGACTTTTTGTGCACACGAAATTCTTTCTTTCGAATGTTTTTTCATCCCTTGATCAGTTTTTTATATTCACCTAATTGATGCTTTTTTGCTCAAATGGTTTGAATAGCGACTTCGTTCATGATTTTTTCAGAATATGAATGAAATTTTTTTTGTTTGGACTTGAGTTGATCTGAGTTTTTACGTATTTGATCTAAATGAAGACATCTTTCCCCAAATGATTTGGCTTCGCGACTTCTGCCCATGATTAGTTCCGAATCTGAGCATTTATAGCTTGCTTGAGTGTGTATATATACTGATTCAATTTTGTTCATAATTGATAGAAATGACACATTTCTGCAAATGATTTTTTTTTCGCGATTACTGTCCTAATGGTTTTAACATTTGTTTAAGTGCGGCTTTGAAATGTAACGCTTTCGAACAAATTGAAGTTATTTTACCGTATGGTTTTTCAAAATGATAACTCCCTTACCTAATTGATGTGGTTTCGTGATTTCTTCTCATGATAACTGTACAAACTGAGTTTGTTTTAGTTTTTTGATAATTCTTCTTTCTAATTCGATTTTTCCAGTTTTTGGCTGGTACATCAGATACATTTCCCCAGCTGATTTTTCACTGGATTACAGAGAGAGTTATTGAACTATCTCGATTGTTTTATCTACGTTTTTGGTTTTGCTTCGTGCTTTTGTGAGGTGAATTTTTTCTAGAATCCTGATGGTACCAATCTTTCGTTTTGGTGCTGTTTTGAATTATGACGATTTTGTTCTTACAAATCTTTTTCTTGCGAATGCTTTTTCATTCATTGATTAGTTCTTGACATTCATCTTAATTATGACTTCTTTCCTCAATTTAATTGGATAGCGAATTGGTTCATGAATTTTTCAGAAGATGAGCCTAATTTGTTTTTGTTTTATTTTGAGTTGATTTGATTTTTTAAATCTTTGAACTAAATGATGACACTTTTCCCCAAATGATTTGTTTTTGCGACTTCTGCCTATGATTAGTTCAGAATCTGAGCATTTATAGCTTGCTTGAGTGTGTATATATACTGATTCAATTTTGTTCATAATTGATAGAAATGACACATTTCTGCAAATGATTTTTTTTTCGCGAGTACTGTCCTAATGGTATTAACCTTTAGTAAGTGCGGCTGTGAAATGTAACGCTTTCGAACAAATTGAAGTTATTTTACCGTATGCTTTTTCAAAATGATAATTCCTTTATCTATAAGATGTGGTTTCGTGATTTCTTCTCATGGTGAATTTACAAACTGAGTTTGTTTTAGTTTTTTGATAATTCGTCTTTCTAATTCGATTTTTCCAGTTTTTTCTCTGATACATCAGATTCATTTCACTGGGTTACAGGGAGAGTTATTGAACTATCTCGATTGTTTTATCTACGTTTTTGGTTTTACTTCGTGCTTTTGTGACGTGAAATTTTTCAAGAATCCTGATTGTACCAATCTTTTCGATTTGGTGCTGTTTTGAATCATGACGACTTGGTTCGAACAAGAATCTTTTTCTTGCGAATGCTTTTTCATTCACTGATTAGTTCTTGGCATTCATCTTAATTATGACTTCTTTCCTCAATTGACTTGGATAGCGAATTGACTCATGATTTTTTCATAAGATGAGCTTAATTTGTTTTTGTTTTATTTTGAGTTGATTTGAGTTTTTAAATCTTTGAATTATATGATGACAGCTTTCCCCAAATGATTTGGTTTGGCGACTTCTGCCCATGATTATTTCAGAATCTGAGCTTTTATAGTTTGCTTGATTGTATGATTCAAATTTGTTCTTATTTGATGGAAATGACACTTTTCTGCAAATGATTTGGTTTCGCGACTCTTGTCCTTGATTATTTCAGAATCTCGTGGTTTTTTAATAGTTTGTTTGATTGTATGTATGTACTGATGCGATTTGTTCATGCTTGATCTAATCTAAATGATGACACCTATCCCCAATTGATTTGGTTTTGCGACTTCTGCCCGTGATTTTTCCAGAAACAGGTTTTGTATTGTTTTTTTTTTGACTGTATGTTTTTACTGTCTCAAATTTGTTCATTTTTGATCTTAATGATGACACCCTTCCCCGAATGATTTGGTTTCGCGACTTCTATTTATGATTTATGTGAAGTGAATGTCGTTTGGTTTTAAGGATTCTAATGGTACCAATCTTTTCGTTTTAGTGCGGTTTTGAAATATGACGATTTTGTTCAAACTACCATCTTTTTCTTGCGAATGCATTTTCATTCACTGATTAGTTCTTTACATTCATCTTACTTATGACTTCTTTCCTCAATTGATTTGAATAGCGAATTGGTTCATGATTTTTTCAGAAGATGAATTTAATTTGTTTTTGTTTTAATTTGAGTTGATTTGATTTTTTAAATCTTTGAACTAAATGATGGCACCTTTCCCCAAATGATTTGGTTTCGCGACTTCTGCCAATGATTATTTCAGTATCTGATCTTTTTTAGTTCGCTTCATTGTATGTTTGTATTAATTCAAATTTGTTCTCATTTGATCGAATTGACACATTTCTGCAAATGATTTGTTTTCGCGTCTTCTGTCCTTGATGATTTCAGATTCTGAGGTTTTACAGTTTGTTTGAATGTAAGTATGTACTGCTCCATTTTGTTCAGGTTTGAAGTAAATGATGACACCTTTCCCCAAATGATTTGGTTTCGCGACTTCTGCCCTTGATTATATCAGAATCTGAGCTTTCATAGTTTGTTTGATTGTATGTATGTACTGATGCAATTTGTCCATGTTTGATCTAAATGGTGGCACCTTTCCCTAATTGATTTGTTTTCGCGGCTTCTGCTCTTGTTTGTTTGAAAATCTTGAGGTTTTTTTTATAGTTGATTGATTATATGTGTGTACTGATCCAATTTGTTCATATTTGCTCTAAATGATGACACTTTTCCCTAAATGATTTGGTTTTGCCCATAATTTTTTGAGAACCTGAGGTTTCGAATTGTTGGATTGATTTTTTGTTTGTATTTTTTGCTTTTCAGTATTTTCAATGGTATCAATCTTTTCGTTTTGGTGCTGTTTTGAATTTTGACGATTTTGTTCAAGCTAAAATCTTTTTCTTGCGAATGCTTTTTCATTCAGTGATTAATTCTTGACATTCATCTTAATCATGACTTCTTTCCTCATTTGACTTGGATAGCGAATTGGTCCATGATTTTTTCAGAAGATGAGCTTAATTTTTTTTGTTTCATTTTGATTTGATTTGAGTTTTTAAATCTTTGAATTAAATGATGACACCTTTCCCCAAATGATTTGGCGTCGAGACTTCTGCCCTTGATTATTTCAGAATCTGAGCTTTTATATTTTGCTTGATTGTATGTTTGTATTGATTCAAATTTGTTCTTATTTGTTGGAAATGACACATTTCTGCAAATGATTGGGTTTCGCGACTTCTGTCCTTAATTATTTCAGAATCTCGAGGTTTTTTAATAGTTTGTTTGATGTTATGTATGTAATGATGCAATTTGTTCATGTTTGGTCTAAATGATGACACCTATCCCTAATTGATTTGGTTTTGCGACTTCTGCCTGTGATTTTTCCAGAAACAGGTTTTCTATTGTTTTTTTGATTGTATGTTTTGACTGACTCAAATTTGTTTTGTTCATTTTTGATCTCAATGATGACACCGTTTCCCGAATGATTTGGTTTCGCGGCTTCAATCTATGATTTATGTGAAGTGAATGTCGTTTGGTTTTAAGGATTATAATGGTACCAATCTTTTCGT